GCCTTAGGGTGGGTGGAGGGGAGAAGGCACCAGGTGGTGTGTCTGCCGGGGTTTAGGATTAGAAAGAGGGACGCCCCCCGCCCCTTTCCTGCCTTTCTGAAAGCCGATCTGCATTCCTGAGTTAAGACTTGCTTTGGCCACTGTCTGCAGTGTCCCCCTCCCCCTCCCCCCACATTAATGGCTCACAGACCTGTTTACCTTCTTGTAAACTTCAGTAACAAGGAGTGTTATGCCCCCTTTCGAAGCGTTTCCGGGACAGGTCAGCAGAACACTGACGTGCTTTCAGAAGCAAGAATCCTGGCCCAGCCCAGTCGATCTCGGGCTCCACTGGGGACCTGCTGTGGTGCTCACGCCCCATCCAGGGGCCGCCTGGGCAGCGGCTGCTCTGTGGGGTACAGAACAGCACCACCAACTGGTCGCAGTGGGTTGGGGTTCCGGCCACTAATGGGGAAGGGAGTAAGCAGTCCTTACCACACCTGCTTTTTCCCAAAAAGACTATGGTTGGAAAGAAGGAGGTTTTATAGCGGCGCCTGTCAGTTGGGGGCTGATGAAGTTATGATTTCAAGTCCAAATAGGATTTTCAAGCAGACATGCTGTTGTTTCGGAACTTCACGTGTGCTGAAAATATTTACACAGGCGTGACTGGCATTTATTATCAGTACTGATGGTGGCCGCTGAGAACCGGGCCCACGGGGGGAGGGTGAAGGGATGGACTGGTAGCAGGGGGTCAGTGCAGATGCCCAGGGCCACGGCGTGTTCCTGCAGCCACCCTGTCCCACGTGCCTGAGGCCCCAGGAACCAGTGCGCGGTGTCTGCCTTTCCCAGGGGCGGCTGGTGACATCATGACCAACGCGTTCCAGGATCTGGGCTTTCAGCACGAGCAGTTTGCTTTCATGATACAAGATCTAAGAGGTTGTGAACGATGGCATAGCAACAAAAAACTGTTATAAAAAAGAGGAAATAGTGAGGATAAAAAAAACCTCACCTGTTACACAGCCTGCTCTATGCCAGGTTCTGTTCTGATTTCTGTGTGTTAAGGTATGTGGGCATGACTTTGAGAGAAGGGATGGGCGGCAGGAGGCCTGGGAGAGGCTGGAGGATGCCGGTGACCCACCTTGAGGAGGGTGGAGGGAACCAGGCTGGGGCCACATCCTCAAGGAACCTGCAAAGGACAAAATGACAGTATCGCAAAGAATCATCGAGAAGTGAGGAGCCCGAGACCCGGAGAGGGGAAGGGTCTTGTCCTAAGTTAGGATCTGTGACTCTTAGTCCTGGCATATAAGGGCCCTCCCCTGGGCCCCGGATCGCACCCCAGACCTGTGTCCCGGTCTCTGCCCTGCTCCCCCCTGGGGTCTCCGTGCCCCTCCTCCACGCTTCCCGCCGGGCTCGGCCTGGACCGCGGGTCGTCAGTGACGGTGCTGTGCCACGGTCCGGAGCAGAGTGATGAGGCCTTGTCCCCGGCCAGACTTCCTGCTGAAGGTTACCTGCCATGCCTTGCCCTCCTCCCTCCCCTCCGTGGTGAGTCCAGGCTGTGTCCCCAGAGTCCCCTCCCTCTGCGCTCTGCCCGGGTAAGTGAGCCCAGGCCCTCAGCATCCGTGAGCGCGGAAGGATGTCGGGCTGCGAGGGCTGCCACCAGGCTTAACTTCCCTTTAACGACCCGGGGGCTGAGCGCCCATTCTGTCCTCTCTGGTTTGACAGTTCCTCTGCAGCTGAAATTTGCATTGGTCATTACAATATTGGAGATAATTAGCAAAAACGGGCTTCACCAGCTTCATGTAGTTGGTCCTATCAAGGGCCTTTCCTCTTGGGAAGCTTTATGGCCATTTATTCTTTTTTTTTTTTTTAATTTTTTTAATGTTTATTTATTTTTGAGACAGAGACAGAGCATGAACAGGGGAGGGGCAGAGAATGAGACACAGAATCCGAAGCAGGCTCCAGGCTCTGAGTTGTCAGCACAGAGCCGGACGTGGGGTTCGAACTCAACGGACCGTGAGATCATGACCTGAGCCGAAGTCGGACGCTTAACCGACTGAGCCACCCAGGTGCCCCTGGTTGTTTATTCTTAAGGTGGCTGTGCCTGTGCCTCTGCTGATCAATGTGTTGCGGGTTTCTGGGGTTGTTTTCGAGTCTGTACTGTGTTACACATGCCCTTTATATGGAATCTTTTGTGTTATAAACAGGGAGTCTGCTGGTCTGTGGTTTCTAATCCAGGCTTTTCTGGGTTGGGCTGCTTGGTGTGAAAGTTCAGGGATGATACAGATGGTTCCAGGAGGAGAACGGGGCTGGGTTCTCTTGGCCCCAAAGCACATCTTTATGGGAGCATCCGGAGGCCCAAGGTTCTCTCCACTCAGTTTCTGGAGCTCAGGCTGTGGGGAGCGGCCAGAGGCCAGCAGAAGACAGAAGGTTCCTTTTTTTTCTTTTTTTTTTTTTTTTTTTAAGAGAGTGAGCGAGTGGGGGAGAGGGGCACAGAGAGAGAGAGAGAGAGAGAGAGAGAGAGAGGGAGACAGACTCTTAAGCAAACCCCATGCTCAGCACAGAGTTCGAAGCAAGCAGGGCTTGATCCCACAACCCTGGGATCACGACCTGAGCCGAAATCAAGAGTTGGGTGCTCACCCAGACGCCCCAGAGGGTAGAATGTTCTTGCCTGGCCCGGGGAGTGAGGAAGAAGTCTCGAGGCAGGGCTCTCCCTGTGGCCAGCCCAGACTCCAGGGAGACCTCCTGTCCACCTGCCCTGGGCTGACCTCTGGGCTGGTTTCCCTCCAGATCTGGGCTGAGATCCTGGGGGCAGGATGAAGAAATGGAGGGAAGGACGCCAGGAGGCAAAGTCAAGCTGAGTCTCTTTTCCCTTCGAGCAACAAAGACCTTCCCTCCTGCGCTGTCCGCCCACATCTGAGCTCAGCGCGGCCACACAGTCTGGGGAGAGGGCTGGACAGCAGAGGCCCACCTGGGGACTCAGGAGGATCCTCGTGAGGTGAAGCTGTGGCCTGGATACTGTGCCCGGG